TTAATTTACAAACAAACATATAAAATAATAAAACTAACATGTAAAATAATAAAACTAACATATCAAAGTAAATTAATGTAATTAATATTGTTTAATGTATAGTAGACGACATGAAGGTTCCGCCTTTGCATCCCGGAGTTGCCAGACTGGAGCTACTGTTGTTACAGGGCGATCATAGGTCGTCCCACATATGGGAGGGACAGTTAGTGGCCCAGACGTTCCGCGCCAGGAGAGTAGAAGATATGTGGGGCTTTCTCAGGGACCACCCTCTCCATCCCCGTATAGTCAGACGCCTCCAGGATATGGGGTTTTATAAGATTGTGGAGATCGGCCAGCTGCAGCTGGATTGGTCGTTGATCACGGCCCTGATAGAGCGATGGCGACTGGAGACGCACACATTCCATTTACCCATTGGCGAGGCCACTATCACGCTTCAGGATGTGGAGGTCCTGTATGGGCTGCCCGTTGATGGACAACCTGTTGCTTTGACGAATGCCATCAGAGAGTATACGGGTTTGCACATGGAGATGTTACAGCGGCTCACCGGTTTCCAGCCACCGAATGAGACTGCATTGGTTGGGGCCAGTCGTCTGCTGTTGACGCCTGTCCGGCAGCATTTGGAGGCATTGCACGCTGACAACACAGATGATACACCGGAGCTTCATATTCACCGGTACACGAGGTTGCTGTTGCTCCTTATGTTTGGAGGGGTTTTGTTCCCGAACACTTCGGGAAACCTAGTCAGCTTGATATTTCTTCATCATCTTGAGCGGCTAGATGATTTACATCATTACAGCTGGGGTGTTGTTGTTCTCGGTTACTTGTATAGGCAGATGTGCCGGGCAAGCATGGGCCCAACATGACGTTGCTGGATTTTTGCCGCTGCTACAGGTGAAAACATAGTCGAATACTCTATTCATTATAACATACCCAGTAAATATATACCTTAAATTTTATGTCCCCTTTGTATATTAGGTTTGGGTCTGGGAGCGGTTCATGCAGTTGCAGCCACCTCTACCACCCTTAGCTCCGGGTGCACCGCCTCCGTTTCTCCCTCTAGCTAGGAGGTGGGTTGATAGGTGAGGATATGGACGAGAGTACGAGGCTCAACATAATCTCCCCTTGTGCAAGGATTTGTTGTATTTGCTAGAAGGCGCACAGGTAAATGTATACTTAAGTTTACTTGGCCTGGCTTCATATGTGTTGCGTATACTCACATTTTTTGTTGTTACTTAATAGTTCATTTGGAGGCCATACAGCGGCGAGCTATTAGCTGGTTTGCCCGATTATTGCTCGGCCGACCGAATTATGTAGAGCTCTTCTGTCCCGTTGATGTGACTTGATATTGTGGAGCATCATGCCACCAAGCGAGTACTTTACCAGTTTGGCTGCCGCAGCTTGTACCACCACTGCCAGCCTGGCATATCACACATTACTAGCGGGATGCTCATTCCAAGGTGGACAAGACATATATGACATGGCTAGNTATGGCTAGAGGCGCAGATCGATACTTGGGACCAGTGACTTGACCTGATTCCGCTCCCCCCCCCACCTGACCGGACGGATGGTGAGCATGATTATATGGGTTGGTACCGCAGCGTTACCCGACTTTTCATCGGGAATCCCATTTATCACGCTGGCGGTTGGTACGTTCCCTACGCCGGGAGGCACGGGGCACTAGTATGTTATTTGGTATACTTACTTATAACGTTAACCTAGCGTTCTGTAATTTATATTTTACATATTGTGCAGGCTATTGGCCTATATCGGTTCCACCAATTGGGACTGCAGATGCAGTGGTATATCGAAGAGGGAGCAGCTGCTTTGCACGAGTATGGCCTATAGGTTACTGATCTGGCTTCCCATACATTGAGGCGAGCCCGAGATGATGATCGCTTAGGATACAAGGCTGATTATGTGGCGCCAGATCAGTACCATCGTGGGGCACGAGTGGAGCCAGAACGTGGTCGACGTGGCAGGCGTGCCCTATGAGGTAGGGGTGTCCCACGAGGTCGTGGGGGTCGGCGAGGAGGTGGTCCCCAGCAAGGGGGCGTGGAGGCACCTGTTGAGGATGTTAGAGTTGATCAGCTCACTCCATGGACTTCGCAAGTGACCCCGTCAACTCCATTGTTGATTGTGGGCATGGCCATTACGCGAGAGGATTGGGATCAGTATTTTCCTAATCTTCTAGTCCCATCGACCGTTGCTGATGATCGGCCAACACGAGATGTGGATAGTGGGTGCCGACTGAGTTATGGCTCTTCATCGAGGGATGTTGGGGATCTTTCACAGGCGCAGGTATGTTTGTATTACTATTAAATTTAAATTTGTTTTTATCTCATTGATTAGCCATAAATATCTTTATGTTTTTTTATTAAGGCTTCATCCCCGCCCGTCATGGAGGCCACTTTGTGCGATACTGACCTGGCTGCGATGGATGATTATATTCAGGAGCCCAACGAGACCATGGTAAGATAATTTAATTTTTTTTAACTTAACACGTGCATTACTAATATATATTTCATATACTAAAGTATCTTATTAATCTGTAGGTTACTGCTGGACCGACGACCCCTTCTACCTAGCCTACCAGCCCTACTGACGATCATGCTACAACGCATCCTCTGATAAAGAGGCGACGTGTTGAGGATGATCCTGATAGCGTAGCCGGGCGGGATGGGATGCGCCTCAGGCCAACGACTACATTACAGCATACAGGATGTGGGACACATTGATTTTTTTTGTATTTTATGTACATATGACATTCAGTAAATAATAGCAATAATTTTTATTGTTTATATTATATGCGCATTATGTTTTTATTTTCCCGGTTCTTCGTTATTTTAATACTACAACAGAAACACAAATATAGTAACTTAACATAATTTAAATTCAGTACAACTAATGAAAATACATGACGCGAAAAACATAAAGATAAAATACTACACTCACACACATACATGTGTTTGTTTAGTCACTACCGCCTATTATTCTCTGCTCCAACCACTTAAATTTCTCTTCCATTTTAGTTTCTCCTGCACTGCCGCAATTTCTCGTTGTATTTCAGAGATTTGGCATTGGTATTCACCGTTCATATTCCAAACATACTGCAAACATGATTTGTAGTATCCCTGGTTAATGGGGTTTATCATACCATTCCTCAAACATACAATGATTTCTGTCATTGCGTCCAAACAATTGTTGACACATCCAGTATCTATGCCCAACATTACCATCGGACAAACATGCCTTCAAAATCGCACATTTGCCACAATAGCACCTTGGTTGATCATTGCGTCCAGACATTTGTTAATGCAAGAAAAATGAAAAATGTATGAAAAGTTTTGCTATTTGTTTTGGTTAATCACAGATAATAACTAAAATGCGCTAGTTATTTATAGGCAAGACAACTCACATAACGTAGTATTTCACCGCGCTATGCTTCGCGTGTTAAAGATTCTTTCGGGTACAAAACAGCTTTTCCAGAAGATAGCTTTTGCACGCGAGTAGCTTTTCAGGTCGACAAGACAACACACACAACGTAGTATTTCACCGCACTATGCTTCGCGTGTTAAAGATTCTTTCGGGTACAATACAGCTTTTCCAGAAGTTAGCTTTTGCAGGTGAGCAACTTTTTACGTCGACAAGACAACCCACATAACGTAGTATTTTAACGCGCTATGCTTCTGTGTTAAAGATTCTTTCGGGTACAATACAGCTTTTTCAGAAGATAGCTTTTGCAGGCGATCAACTTTCTCAGGTCGACAAGATAATTGTTTTTTTAAAAATGGGTTTATGTTAGATTGTTGTACTGAAGTATTAATGTTAAATATTAATAATATTTAACAGCAATGGAAACATAATTTTATTTCATACA